TAGATAAACAGAGAATAAGAGTTACTGTATTGTGTTGTAATGCATCATCTAAATATTGTGCCGTAACATCTCTGATTTGATTTTTTGAGATATTTAGTGTGGTGAGTGTCTAGATGAAAAAATGCAAGTAAGGACATGATGTAGGTAGAGAGACGATATAGTCGGTCAGTGTGAGTTGAGTCTATATCATTGAAATAAATTTTATTCTGACGATGGTCTCTGAGGTATGGATACCACTATGAATATGTCAAAGTTTTTTGATGATGTATAGCAGCCGATAATATTTTATGAAAACTACAGAAAATGAATTTTTTGGAGAGATTGATAACTAATAAATTTGTTTTAATGGCAAATAGTTTATTCATGTATGTCTTAATGAAATCATTCTACTTAAATAAAGATTACAGAAATGAAAAATAATTTATCAGTAAATAGAAAAAAACTAGACTAGTATGATAGGAAGAATGTTACTTGATATCGATAATAAGTGTCGACGATGTCCTTAAATCGTTGACATACGTTTCTCATCGAACAGAGAATTGTAAAATCTGACTGTTGATCCAGAATTCGGTAGACAAGTTCTACCGGTAATGTAAGGAAATTGGTGACAGTTCGATTTGCCATTGTAGATTGCCGATAAAATGTGTGCTGTACAGACTTGTATATTGGTTATATCATGTGTCGTTATTTTTTCTTCCAATTAAATGTGTAGACGTTTATTTTGGCATTGGTTTCGTATGATTTTGCAATTACTTGCTGAAAGAAAAAAACGAAAAAGAATGATGTCAAGTACCGAATAACAGAATTGTCATAGCAACTGTAAACAATGGTTGTGTTAAGATTGTTTTATCGATATAAAATGGTACATAATACATATGAATACTGTGTTCTCAGTTATAATTAGCAAAGTTCGAGGAATTTGTTTTTTGTTTATTTTTATTCAAACTCTGTACTGTCATCTGATGGTAAAATCAAATATACATATTTTATAAGATGATACAGAATTTATTGTCATGAAACAGAGTCAGACGAATGAATCGACGACAAGACATCATTAGTTCCATGATTGACGAACTTTAATATAATTTGATCTGTTATTGGAAAATTTGTATTAAATATTGAGAACCCAGGTCGATCAAAACGGAGCCGTTTACAATGCGTTTTCAGAATGTAAACCGTGACAAAAAAGTAGCTTTACGGCCAAAAATAAACCGTTATCACTCTGTAATCATGGGTGTGGGTGTGAATGAAAGTTTGAGTATGGATAGTTTTCTTACCCATCTACCCCCAGTCTTCTACATTTCGACATTTCTACTTTTCGATAATTGTATACTTCGCTACTTGTGTTTTCCACGCTTTTATATTTTGATATTTTTTTTTCTACATTTTTAGATTTCGACGTTTTTACTTCCGCCATTTTTGAATGGGAAATCATAGTGTTCCATTTCATGAAGAACAGACAAGCAAACACTCTTTTTTTTGTATGCTAGATATCTATTATTCATTTCAAATTACAAGAAGAGCAGATATTTTTAAAACACTTTTTGATAGGAACAAATTAGAGATGTTTGGTCTTTACTGCTTAAAAGAGGCAGTGAAACTGCATTGATGCGTACATGTTAGATGTTTTTTTCTAGAGTGTCTTGACAAGTTTTCAAAAAAAAACATAATGTAATGTAACAATTGTAGAATTTTAATTTTGAGAAGAATATTAAAGTCATTAATTAAAGATCCATTTCTATAATAAAACGCATTTTTTTCTTTAGTTTTTGATAGAAAAAAGCAGTTTTGTGTACTTATAAAATCCTTTATTTTTAAAGGAATTTCGTGCTTATGTGATCAAAATCATCATTCTATTGCATTTACCACATAGATTGATTCCGAGATTTAATTGTCTAGAATGGTGATTGTTGAGGGTGTAGGTGAGAATGTCTACGCGAGTAGCATACAGTAGGAATGTGCTTAGACGCGGTTATGATCATTATCTTCATCCTGTATGTACAATCAACATCATCGACACTGAAAGTGATTCAATAGTTTTGTTTTAAACGTCTCTAAATAGTAGAAGATCCATTCAGTAAAAAAGACCCTTAGTGACGTCGTTCTATATTAGGTATACGTTTTCATGGCAAAAATAAATGAAAAATTCGAAGAATCATCATAGAAGACTGATGAAATCGAGTAGACAGTGTCGATATATAGATTGATTAGCCGATGAAAATAATACAAAAAATACAATTTCCTATTTACCGACAGATTAATCAAGAATAATATTAATATACACTTACTTTCTTATAATTATATGAAATAATTATTTCCTATGAACGATTAATTCAATGAAAATAAATTAGAAATATCTATTGTGATAATTTTATAATATTTACAGAATCTATTATTCCATGATCATTCACAGTGATGATACTCTGATAGACACTTTTGAAAAAAAAACAATAGTTTTTTCACAAGCTATGCCGACTAAATATTTAGAGTTATATAACACCATATGGTACAATCTTTCCTCGAAAAAAATAAAAGTGACACACACATTTATGTCTCATCAATCTTATCTACAATAACAAGCATCGTGTCTCTCTTCGACAAAGAAAAGATGTTAAAGTAACGTCATTTGTTGTTAGTCATATATAGACTTTTTCCTGTTCATCCTTTTAATTAAGGTGTCGGTCATGCATTTATATTGATCAATTTGAATCAATTTTATTTTTGTCAACAATTAGAAACTATATGATTCATATTGAAATCATTCAAAACTATGTGATATACAAGATAAAATAGAATTGGGAACAATGATAAAAAAAAGAAGAACAAAATCTAATTAATCTATTGTCCAAATGTAATACCAGCACTAACATAAACATTATAAATTTTTTCAATCGCATTGACATATGCTGCTGTACGAATATCAAGTCCAAGATTATAACGCATTGCTGTTTGCATAATAGCACGTGCAGATTTTTCCATTGTTTGTTCAAGACCTGAATGTACAATATCTTTTTCTGAAGCACCAGCCATACGTTTAAAAAATTCTTCACTTGGAACCTATAATAAATAGGATCAAGATAGTTTTTATAAGAAAACAGAAAAAACGTATTCTCTATTTACAATTGGAATTTTTCCACCCATACGACCAAATTTAGATTCTAATGAACCTTGAACTGATTCTATATGAAAATAATAATAAAATGTATTAATATATAATATTTTAATAATATACCAAGTAAAGAGTAATTAGTATCACGTTGATATTTAAATGTTAATCGACCATAGCTGACATGACTTAAATTTTTTAACCATTCAAAATATGAAACAGTTACACCACCAGCATTTATGTATAAATCTAATAACAAAAAAATATCATTCTTTTCTTTTACACTATATATTTAGATATCAATCACCTGGAATAACAAGTACATTATTTTTCAATAAAATGACGTCAGCTTCAGGTGTTGTTGGTCCATTGGCACCTTCAGCAATAATTCGAGCTTTTATACGATGAGCATTTTCTGATGTAATTTGTCGTTCACTTGCTGCTGGTACAAGAATATCACATTGTTCGCAAAGTAATTCTTCTTTTGGATCTTTATCATATGGTTTAGCACCGGGAAAACCTTTAATTGTACCCTTTTCTAATTTATAATCTTCTAATTCTTTTGGATCAATGCCATCGGGATTAATAATAGCTGCATCATATTCAAGTACTCCAACACATTTTGCACCATGTCGAGTTAAATAACGTGTAGAATGAAG